TCTCCATAGTAAGACAAGTTTTTCCTAATTGGATTCTTGGACATTCAGAGGTGTGTAAAAGTAGTAAAGAGAAGGAGATAAAGGAGGCCTGAGAAATTTTTATACTACAAAAGCCTGAGTGAAAATTATTAATCTAAAAGTATAGTGCATGGGCCAACAAAGAATACCATTATTTCTTTGCTATTAATTGGGATTACATCAAAATGGGTTAAAAAATTGTTTATCTTATGCTGATCAGAAATTATGATTAGCAGTCATAGGTCTTTGATCCATAAAAATAGAAGTGAATTAAATATTAATAAATGTAGTTTTATAAGTAAAAATCTTCCAAAACTTGGGGTTCCTGTAGGGGAGAAAAGGGAGACTCTCAGTGGTGAAAACATTAGTAATCTTGGATTTAATATAATAATAGTTCAGTATCTAATCAGGGCTCTTACCAAGGTTATGATTCTATGCCATTGACTTTTTTTGTAGAAAGAAGTGAATAAAAGCAACACTGTCTCTCATTGTATCGCAAAGAGGAAGGAAAGCATGTTTCCCAGGGTAAATTTTTATGCAGAAGTCAGATGAGGTTGAGTCAACTTGAATATTGTATTATTTATTGGTACTATTAGAAAAAAGTCCCCCCCCCCCACACACACTTAATGTTGCCCGTGACTCATTTAAAGACATTGATGAGAAAACAAAGAACTAGAACAATAAATTTAACACCTTGCGTTGCTCCACCATCCAGAGAGAACCACCATTAATGTTAAAGACACTTCCTAATTTTTCTCAGAAATCTGTTTCATTTTTCTTTCGTTGATTGTTTGTTGCCAGTTAGCAATTGTTGCTATCGCCTTGTCAATATTACCTGTCTGATCAACGGTAGTGAAGTCTCCTGTTGCTTTAACTTGATGCTTGGCAAGGTTGCTCATATGTGGATCTCCCCTCCCCAAGACACAGTAGGCAGTAGTTCAGTCCATGTGATGAATAGTTCATCCTTTCTTTCCTGGCTTGTGGGGTACCTTTATCATAACACAACATTTTTGTATGTCCAGGGTCTGTGTTTGCACTCTCTCCCCATCTGTTTATTCCTGTGCAGGGAATACCCTCTAACTACTGTAAAAAGTGTTGTCTGGTGCTTTTTGTTCTGTTTGAAAATGTAGCTTGTTTATAGTTGAGATGGTTTTGGTGTGAACATGTATGCTACCTATGTTTTCTCAGTGTCTTCGAATATTTCTTCAATATGTATTCCCAGATGCGGAATTATTCTGTTAAAGGGTATACATGTTTTTGAGACTCATAATTTGTATTGTTTTCCAGAAATAATTGAATCAGTTACCAAGGAATTTACTCTTAGAATGAAAATACCTGAGTTCTGTTCCCAACGCTGCTTTTAATTCCCTGTGTGACTTTAGGCTCTCATTTTCCTTACCTGGGCCCAGTTTCCTTATTTTAGTGGTTGTCAACCCAGATGATTTTGCACAACCACCACCCCCCCCACCCCCCGCCCCAGGCATTTGACAATGGCTGGAGACATTTTTTGGTTATCACATCTTGGAGGGGGTCCTTCTGGCATCTAGTGGGTAGAGGCCAGGGATACGGCTCAATGCTATGCAAGGTACAATGCTCCCCACCCCTCCGAAGAATTATCTTGCCCCAAATGACAAGTTTCCATTAAAATTCTAATAGTAAATAAAAAACCAAACCTGTTGCTGTCCAGCCGATTCTGACTCATAGCGACCCTATTGTTCCATTACTGTTTTTATAGGAAAATTGAAAAGCTTTATGACACACTTGCTGCTTTTCAATAAAACCAAGTTATGTGGTGATTGGAAGCTGTAAAAATGGCTTGGTGGCAGCGTCTGACGTCCTCTAACTTCACAAGGGGGAAGGAGAATCAAGATCAACAACCCAAGGCTGATTCCTATGAGGTGGAGCTCAGACATACCTCTTCTCTCCAACCTTTTAATCAGTTCCGACACCAGCTGTCCCTCCCACAGCACTCTCTACTTTGTTAGGTTTGATAATTCATTGCAATGGCCACACAGAACTCACAGACCATACTCACAGTTACAGGGTTTATTAGGAAAGTAACAGGTTACATTTCAGGTTCAGGAATGCTCAGGATACAGTTCTTCAATCAGGACAGCTTCTTTTCATCCATGCTGCTAGTAAGCTTCTTGCCGGTCTTTGGCCTCTTGGCCCCTTGGGCCTCTTGGGCTGGCTGGCCTCTGCCCTGTTTGGGCAAGGGTTACAAAGCTCGTTTAGTTCTGCTGATAAGTGCCCAGAGGCACCCCACTCCGCCAGCCAGCCTTCTACCGGAAGGTGCTTAGCTTTCACACTCCGTGGGCCGGGAAGCCCACCACGCAGTTTCTTGCCAATCTCCTGATTCTACTTCTGCTGCTGCTGCCGTTTCTCTGCCACTGCTTCTCACCATCTTTCACTATCTCCTGTGTTACAGCTCTCTCTCTGTCTTCTGGGTCTAGGAGGTCTCAGTGCAAGGATCCTGGGTCCAAAAGATGCGATCTACTCCTAGCTCTTCTTTCTTGGTGGTAGTGTGGTCCCCTCCTTCCTGCTTCCGGGATGGCTCATATTAAGCCTAGCGGGATGGCAAAACTGAGCAATTCCCTCGTTAGGGTTCCATATACCTTATTTGCATGGTCCTGCCCCCACAAGGGTGCCGTGCACCTGATATGCATTATTAGCAAGCTGTCTGATCCTTTTGGTGGGCCACAAGCACCTTATTTGCATAGTCCCACCCATTCCTTTGGTGGGAGTTAAAAGGCCACCATGGTGAGAAGGGCCATATAGAAACTATCCATCTCACTGTAGAACCTGATCGTTCAGTTTCTTTTTAATAGTCCTCAAGGTTTAATGCCACCTTTGAAAAATTTGGTACAAGAACATAAGGGTAGAAAAACCTTCCTCCATCTTTGTAAAACACACATACACACCCTTGAGTACAGATCTGGAGACTACTTAAATCCTTTGGATATTATAAGTCCAAACCTTGGAAAATACTTACTAGAAATATTCAAGCCCCAGGAGCCTTTTCTGTCTACCAGTCTATGTGCATATTCCCTTGCTGGTTCTGCAGGGCGGGCCCATGCCCACCCTTTACCAAAAGATACATCTGCAGGTGGAGGAGAGCAGGTGTTTCTGTGGGTGGTTCCAAGTTTTAGAGGCTAGGAGTCTGAATTCTGGGCGTTGGCAGGGCTAGACTCCCTTGTTCTCTCTCTTTATCTGTCTTTATCTCTGTCTCTTTCTCCCCTCTGAGCAAAGATTTTTGTCTGTTTCAGCTTGTGTAGCCTGGGATGTTTCTTGGTGTTCTTTGGGTGCTTGTAGATGTGTTTGTCACATGGACTTTATGTGTGTGTGTGTGTTTGTGTGTGTGTGTGTGTGTTGGTCTGTCTGTCTCTCTGTTTCTGTTCTGCCCATTATATAGGACACTACTCTGAGGGGATTAGATTTAGCACCTACCTTCTCCTCCCCCCAATTAACATATGAAAAGAAAAACTCTATTTCCAAACTGTTAACATTCATTTCCAAACAGTTAACATTCACTTGTACAGGAATTGAGGACTTCAATTTTGAGGGACACAATTCAATCCGTAACATGAGTTATAGAAATAACGTATTTCAGTTTAATCACAAATAGAAAAGTGAATGTTTGCAAAATTAAGGGATCGAGCTGACTTTCTTCATGGCTATGTCCCTGCTGGCCTTCCTTTCTTTCCCGCCTCTGCCCTCCACTCCCTGCTGCGTCAGCCTGGGAGGGAGCAGAACATCAACCTGTAGTCACTGCTGGCCTTTTGGTGTTATGTGAGCTGCAACACCGCATGCCACGCTCTCTGCTTCATCAACACCGTGGAAACTTCTGGGAGCCCTGTACCTACCATTGGGAATCATTATACTGAATTTTGCAGTGTATCATTTTTTTGCTTTTCATTGACGTTTTACTGTATACATGATAAATATATTAAGTTGTGTGTGCTTTTGAAACACACAGATATTCAGGATATTCCTCTGAGACTTGTTTTTTAATTCAGTGTTATGGTTTTTGACATACAGCTATGTTGCTACTTGTAGCTATAGCTTAATAATTAATGAAGGAGTCTTTTAACCTTGGGCGGTAGCTGTGCAGAGTAGACTTGGCATTTTGTAAGGAGTGGCTGGCAGGGAGGGATTGCCCAGTTACAGGGGCCCCTGTGTGTACATGGCAGGCTCCTGTGAGCTGTGGCCATTTGCTAAGCCAGTTTAGGATCCTGCCGTGTGCTGGTCCCTGTCTGCGTCCACCCACCCCCAAACAATGTTTTTTAGTACATTTACAGAAGGCGTGTGTACTTGGGGGGCTCGCCAGTATGTTCCTGTTTCTCCTGACTTGTGTTGGCCGGAGCTCAAAGACTCATGATGATGGGGTGCAAGTATGAAGGCCATTTGGGTCTGGATTGTGGTTCTGTGTCTTTGAGAATGGATCCCCTAAGTAGTGTAAGAGTGGGGTCAGGGATGACTGCCTTGGATATAGGTTGGCCAGACCAAAGTGGAAGAGATGGTGTAGGCTGTGCAGAGGCAGAGGAGTGGGAGGGAATAAGTGCCACTCAGTGTAGGAGTCACTGGAAGTTGCAGAGCACAGGCCAGGAGTGTTCCTCTTCAGCAGGGAGGCTTGCCAGTCCCTTCGCTGAGGCAGCCAGCTTGAGGGGAGAGCCATGGGCCTGCCCTCATCCTGGTCATTTGGGGTACTTTTTTCCTAGGAAAAATTGTTGTTGAGAACAGAGGTTTCCGTTTGGATAGTGCCCTAAGGCAAATCACCAGGGTGAACCCCTTTCCTGGGCTTCACTCTCCCTTTACAAACCAAACATCGTAAAAATTTTTCTACTCCTCCCAATGAGCTGTAATTGGGTATGGGGTTAAGTGAGATAGGAAGGAATTTGACCCAAATGGAGAGAATGCAAATTTAAAAATAACTCAAGTAAAAATTAATATTTACATGAACTAATTTTACTCTTCTGTTTCAGAATATACCCAGCACTCCTTTGGGACACACCTCTCTTGGATTTAATATACAGTCCTCATCAACATCGACTTTCAGCTATGGAATCGTAAGTATTTTGTTGCTTTGTGCCTTTTCAATTTGTGTTGTTTTCATTGGTTGGTAAAAAGCAGTATGAGAGTCATGCAGAATTTTCCAAGTTGCTTCTCTTGGGCTTGATATAATTTTAGCTTAAAAAATAAATTTTTTTTTTTTAATTTTAAACTTTTGTCCTGGTTTGCATATAGACGAGGGTATTTTCAGAGTGGTAGCTTTGAGCTCTATGGGATCAATAAATAACATCTCTAGTGTCACAGTGAGATGAATTCTGCTGAAAAATTAAACAATTTGGTAGCCTTGCCTGCAAAGGAAGTCTGTTTCTCCTCAGCTTACTGATTTTCTCCATCCCCAAATCTTCTAGAGCACCAACACCTTGTAGCTCTTGTATTCTGTACTTTAGGAGATTGGATTAACAGCCTGCCTGAAGAGTAGCTTTTGTTTGCTGAAAGTACTTGCTGTTGTCTTTGAGAGGAGCAGTCAAGGCCTGCCTGTGTTTTGACTTCGTTGTCTGTCTTCGTGCAGGAGGGTTGCTATGTACTGAGGTGTAGTGGTCACTCCTTGTCTGTGTTCTAGAAGCGTGAAGCCAGTCTGCGGGGTCATTGGGTAGGGAATGAGGTCCTTGGGTAGGGAATGGGACCCTTTGTAGGTTGCCCTGACTCCTGCCTCCTCCTGGGAATTATTGGGACATTTCTTGAGAGGAAGAGCAGCAGCCTCCTAAAGACTTTGGCCTCAGGTCTGAAACGTTGCTCTATGTTTCTGTAGGACAAAGTCCCCCCTTGGGAGATTGATTGTAGCCTGGCAGATTGTTTATTTCTTATGTTGGCTCATTTCAGGTTTTTGTTTCTGGGCCAGGTATTAGTGTTTAAAAGCAAATAGCCCAAAAGTATAATACCTATTTTGTGTTGTTACTCCCAGCAAACGTGAAAGAAACTTTTCTGCTACTTACTTAAGAGAATTTTCTTTCTCTCTCATATCCTTCCTCTATCTCAGTCATAGTTGAATCAGGCCACTTTGAAGCATACCTGTCCTGTCCCTTTCACCCGACTCAAGTCTTTCTTTGGAAATAGAATGAAGTTTGATGGAAAAGAAATCTCGAATGTTTCCAACAGTAGGCCTAGAACTGCTTTCTCTTTATCTGCAAGGTGGTTAGCAACTAGAAAGAAGCAAGCATGGCTAACAGAGGATGTGAGTGATCAGGTGAGGTTTGGGTGGGCATGTAGATATTTTCCCTTCAGCCTGCTGAAAAAGCTGGCTTTGTAGCATTCTGTGGGACTGTGGTATGAGTGCTTCCAAGGTGATATTTCAGGATATGAATATATGTTTGGTTCATCTAGGTTGTGAAAATAGTCCTCTTCAGAAAGTCTGTGAGTATCTACCCACTTCAGGCAGATTCATGGGGCCCTCAGAAGGGCCACAGGATTTGTCCTGAGCAGTTTACAGTCTCGTAGAACAGGTGTTATGGTAACAGTAGGAGGAAGCAGATGCTCACTGCAAATAGTAAAACAGTATCTAAGAAGGGAGAGGAAGGAGTCTTATTGGGCATAGCATGGTTCAGGAAGATTTCTTGAGGTCACTGCACTTGAAGAGGTTGGGGGTTGAGCTGTGTTATGAGGAAAGGGAAGGGTAAACATTGAGAGAGAGGTCAAAGAGGAGAAATGGAATATCGGCCAAAGAGGGCCTAAGCTGGAGGTGTTCAGGAGGTGGTTGCCAGAACAGGTAGGGTAATGTGCTGGGATGCCTGGAGGTGGGCTGGAGGGGTGGGGAGAGGTGGTTGGATGTTGATTCCCGTGGCTGTCCTGAGCAGTGGGGGAGCCCTCAAAGGTCAGGGACGTGGGAGAAAAGAGGTGGTGACGGAGTGAAAACTAGACCCTCAGACCTCTAGTCTGTACTTTAAGTCTGTGTGGCAACTGCAGTATTGACATTAACTTATAAAAAGGAAAAGCAAAATGCTGCTTATGTTAGCGCAATAATTAGATTATTAATAAGTACTTAGTTATTCAAAGTCCGTATTTTCTGATGAAAATCAAACAAGATATCCTTGGCTCTTTGCAGGCAGATCTTGGCTTGGTCTAGTTGGTTTGATGCTCTTGTGGATTGAGGTGAGTAGGATATATTAACAAATACCCGAAAGGTTTTATGACATGTGAAATGGTGACTCTTTTGGCTGTACCACGCTAATAATCCAAAGTGTCTAATGCCACTTACCACTTTTGTGAAATATAAGTATTTGGTCAATATTGGTCATCACTGTCTTTTTGATCTGCAGTATTTAGAGTAAAATAAAAGCTCTTCACATGAAGTGCTGTGTCCCCAGTAGGGATCATGGGTGAACCTGGATGAAGGAAACAGCAGACTGGGGTATTTGGGCCTTGAGCCTAGGATCCCACGGCTGTGTGAGGTTTGTTTCCATAAACTTTCCTGTCATTAAAGACAGGTTTTTTTTTAAATTGTGCTTTAAGTCAAAGTTTACAGTTCAAGTTACTGTCTCATACAGAAATTTATACATACGTTGTCACGTGATCCTGGTTGCTCTCCCTGTACTGTGACAGCACACTCCTCCTTTCCACCCCAGATTTCCTGTGTCCATTCAGCCAGCTCCTGTCCCTCTCTGCCTTCTCATCTCACCTCTGGACAGGAGCTGCCCATTTAGTCTCATGTATCTACTTGAGCTAAGAGCACGGTCTTCACAAGTACCGTTTTATGTTTTATAGTCCAGTCTAATGTTTGTCTGAAGAGTTGGCTTCGAGAGTGGTTTTAGTTTTGGGCTAACAGAGAGTCCAGGGGCGATGTCTTATGGAGTCCCTCCAGTCTCAGTCAGACCATTAAGTCTGGTGTTTTTATTAGAATTTGAGTTCTGCACCCCACTTTTTTCCTGCTCTGTCAGGGACTCTCTGTTGTGTTCCCTGTCAGGGCGTTCATTGGTGGTAGCAGGGCACCCATCTAGTTCTAGGTTGATGCAGTCTCTGGTTTATGTGGCTCTTTCTGTCTCTTGGGGTAATATTTTTCTTGTGTCTTTGGTGTTCTTCATTCTCAAAGGCAGGATTTTTTTATTAGGATTATTTTGTAGACTCACTAATGATTTTTCAATTTATTTGTATTATTCAGTTTTTAAAATTATTTTAATTTTGATTGCTCAAGGTGGAATGTGGAATATGAGTGTTACGGATTGAATTGTGCCGCCTAAAATATGTGTTGAAATCCTAACCCCTGTACCTGTGGATGCAATAACAGTTGGGAAGAGAGTTTTGTTATGTTAATGAGGCATGTCCTAAATCTAATAAACTTTTGAGATATAAAAAGAGCATATTAGGCACAGAGAGGAACCACCACAAATTAGGGAAGACAGGAGCACATATGTGAGGATCGCCAAAGAACCAAGGGACACTGGAGCTACAGAAGCTGAGACAAGAATCTTCTCCTAGAGATGACAGAGAGAGAGAGGGCTAGCGAGAGAGCCTTTCCCTAGAGCAGGTGCCCTGAATTCGGACTTCTAGCCTCCTAAACTGTGAGAAAATAGATTTCTGTTCTTTAAAGCCACCCGCTTGTGGTATTTCTGTTAAAGCAGCACTAGGAGACTAAGACAATGGGCAATTTAGATCATACTGAGGACCACTGTTTTTGACAGATCAGACTTGTCAAAACCCATTTAGTGTACGGTGGTGGTAGTGCTTGTGTATCACAGCTGGGTACTTTTTAGAGGCTGGGTTTGGATGAATTCTGGGCCAGTCCTGACGTAAGATTTTGCCGATTACAGCTGCAGTGACCTGGGTCTGAGCCAGTCTGTGTGTGCGTTGGGTTGGGTGTGCTGGTGTGTGAGCGTATCACGCTCTCAAGTGCTCTGAGCTGAGTGTCCTCACCTGTGAGGTGGTAATGCTAATATCCAGCTTAAGGGCTTCTTTAGGATTAATGACACTGTTTGTGGAAAGAAAACTCCATGAAATATGCACTTTAAAATAATTAGATTTAGATTTTTTACCTTTCTCTAGCATCAGACTCTAGTTTACGCTGACAGCTGGTGCCATTCTTACTTTCTTACCATCTTTACTGGTAAAGCAGAAGGTCAAGGGTTTTTTCTAGAAGTGATGAGATGGAGTTGGTATTTGCTGGCACACAGTTAACCAGGTTTACAAGGAATGTGTAGAAGTAAGATTCAAAGGATGAATAGGGCAGGGTTTCTAAACACTTGTTTTCCAGAGCAGACTGTCTAAGCAGGTGTGCACAGGCTGCACTTATACTCACTATGAAAAGACAATTTTGAATTATGTTTCTAAAAAGAAAATGGTTTTTGGAAGTGGAGTCTTAGAAAGGCTTGACTTTAATGTTTTGTATTTTTAACCGAACACCTCTATTTAAGAGAAAAATGATCAGTTTTTAACTTGCTGAGTTTCATGGGGTGAAATGTGGAAATTAGCAAGTCACATGGAAGAGTAAAACATATAGTTTGCCTCAGGGTCACCAGATGTGCTGACGAGGAGCATGTTCTTGTGAGTGGTCTGTGCTACTGTGGAGGCACACCCCTTTCCCAGCTTGTGATTCTGCACAGGAGCTGCGGGCAGTCCCCCAGTAACACCCTCTTCCCCTCTCCATCTGCCACCTGAGCAGCATGGTGGGAGGTGTCCTGTGCTTGGTGGCCCCTTACCTTAACCCCGGTATTGTCATCTGGTATTAAATGCAGAGAGAGGAGTTCTTCCTAGGCAGGACCATCTGTCCCCACTTGTGTGGTGACCATGTCACTGCCTAGGGCCTGAGTCAGCTATTAGGTAATGTCTTAGTTATCTAGTGCTGCTATAACAGAAATACCACAAGTGGATGATTTTGGCAAGCAGAAATTCTCTCACAGTTTAGAAGGCTAGAAGTCTGACATCAGGGTGCTGGCTCTCGAGGAAGACTTTCTCTCTCCATCAGTTCTGGGGGAAGGTTTTTGTCATCAGTCTTCCCCTGGTCTAGGAGCTTCTTGGCAAAGGGACCACAGGTCTAAAGGACACACTCCACTCCTGGCTCTTCTTGCCTGGTGGTATGAGATCCCTCTCCTGTCTGCTTGATTCTCTCTTTTATGTCTCAAAAGAGAGTGACTCAAGATAAAACCTAATCTTATAGATTGTATCCTGCCTCATTAACATAACTGCCTCTAATCCTAATCTTGCTTCATTAACATCATAGAGGTTAGGATTTACAACACATAGGAAAATTACATCAGTTCACAAAATGGAGGACAACCACACAGTACTGGAAATTGTGGCCTAGCCAAATTGACACACATTTTTTTGAGGACACAATTCAATCCACAATAGGTGACAAGTAAGGTCACATATTTGCTGAGGCTGTTTTCACCTGTGCCCTTGAAGGCAGGGCTGATGCAGCAGGACTGGGCTTGATGTGCAGGTTTGTAAGGAACTTGTAAGAATCAGTGCCGATTCATTTCCCCTTTTTAATGTAGTGTGTTTTTGTTCGATTTTAAAATAGATAACAGCACACAAACCTTGTTAACTTTGCTTCATTGTCAAATTAATATGGAGCTAAACATGCCAATATATTTTACTGAATGTTTGAATATAATCAGTTGGTACTGTAATTTTAGTGTTCTGAGGGACATTCTATGGCTGAACTCCCTTAAATTACATATAATTTATAGAATATTAGTTGTCATTTAAGTTAGATTTCATTAAATGCATGCTTTTTGTTAATATAAAAATTGGCAGTTGGTGTTCAAAACTATTTTCCCCCAGACCCCTACCCCCAACTGCAGCTATTGTTGATGAGTAGAAATGATGAGCCCTTACTCCAGGATACTGAATTGCTAGGAAAATTCAAGTGCCCAAAGGGAAGGATTTGGAAGCTAGCCAGGTCACAGCAGAAAGGAAAGGTCTGGATTCCAGGGGCCTTTGGGCTGCGTTGCAGCTGTGCTGTGGCTAGGTGCGATATGTTCTGGCTGTTGGTAGTCTGTTTCCCCCTCTGAATGCTTCTGGCTGGAATGGACCTCTGGCTTTGTGGCAGATTTCAGTGTCTTATGATAAATACTGACCTGAGAAGGAAGACATGTATGTAGAAAGATCTGTTTTGGACCAGAGAAGGGCTAGAATGCTGTTTGTAATACCACATTTATTGATTATAATGTTGCTTTTATTTTCCTTCTGTTGTTGACTGCACTGATTCCCATGGAGCTGGTGTTTATTTTTTAATACTGGTGAGTTTTAAAGGTGGCCAAGTGTATTTTTGTGTCTGAGTGTGAAGAGATTTGCCTGTGTCTGGCATAGAGTAGTCCCTCCACATACTTTATTCAAACTGAGCTGAACTTTGCTACCTGTAGAAGCACCATAACCAAAAAACTAAACCTGTTGCTGTCAAGTGAATTCCAACTGACTCATAGCGACCCTGTAGGACTGAGTAGAACTGCTCCCTAGGGTTTCCAAGGAGTGACTGGTGGATTCAAACTCCCGACCTCTTGGTTAGGAGCTGTAGCTCTTAATCACTGCGCCACCAGGGTTCCACCACAGGTCCCTTCTTACCATCCTAGTTGTGCTTTCCTGAGCAGGACCAAGCTCCTGCAATACATGGAATGAGGGCTCAGCCCAACTCCCACGTTTGGAAATGTCCTTTGAGACAAGAAGTTAAATTTGTAGCTTGTTTAGATCTCCATGGAGAGGAGGAGGAAGGCATGGAAGGAGGCCTTGAGCCGACCAGGGGAGGTGTCTCAGGGGAGGCAAGGAGAATGTTTGGGATGAGTGTCTTCAGGACCTGCCTATAGATTTCTTAGGCCCCAGGGAGAGTTCTAGCCTCTTCTACCCTCTCCCAAGAATAGGTATCTTAATTATTTGCTATTTGCATTAGCCATTGGGAGAGGGAACTTGGGATATGGCTAGTTCAAAAAAAAAAATAGTAGAGTGGTTTGGGATTTGAAATGTAAACTGTTTTGAATGCAGGATACAGTGTTTGGACCAGCTAAGTCTTTCTATATTATATCTTAGTTGTTGCCAGTGGGTTCCCCCTCAGGTTTTCTTCTGTGTGAAGGTTATTAAAGATAGCGTTGAGTGCTGGGGTTAGCATAGCTAGTTTTAAAGAGAAGTAGAGCAAAAAATGTGGTGACATCCCCTGGGGCCAA